GGGTTTAGAGGTCACTGGCTACTTTAGATTTATATTTATACCATCTTTATGTGATTGCCCCTGTAGAATAGCGTGACCAAAAGTTTCCATTAAAATGTAGTATACCATCTCTTTCTCTCTCTCTCCTAGAAGAGGAAATAATTTGCAGGTCAGTTTTAATATTTCAGAGGTGCATGTATGTTATCGCTAATGTTATTCCTCAGAAAGGAAGTTCTGTAGTATAACACTATTTTATCGTTATCCATCATTAGACTTTGTAGGTAAAATTGAAGTTCCCTGATTCCGTGGGGATAGGTCATTTTGGCCTGTGCACAAGCAGCAGCTTTGAAAAGAGACCAGTCCCCAGGATTTAATGCCATCTGGCCCATAAGGTGGGGAAGGGAGGGGGTGTAAAGGTACCATGGGATCAGTGGATTTAGGCCTTGCAACCTGAGCAGATTGGGCTGTGCAGGACAAGCCACAAGTTACTTTGTGTAGTGGTCAAAAACAGAATTCAGATTATTCTTTGATGGGAGTCGAAAATGTTCACCTTTCACGTCTGCTTCGTAGGCTTCGCTGTGGCTAGGAAATAACACTGTTACTGAAATCTGGGTTCATGAAAGCAATTGGTGGATTGATCACCATCTTAATAAACCCGTATGTCAGTACAATGCACAGACTTTTCTAACATATCTAGTGATGTTTCCCTTCTCTCTGCTCCTAATTACTTTGTTATCAAATAGTGTACCAGGATTTAAATTGACCTTTCATAATAAACATCAGTCATACATTTTATGAAAAAAGTGCAGAATGTACAAAACGCTTTAGAATTAATGAAAAATACAAAACTATAACTCGGAGCTACAGAGCTAATTCTTCGTACTTGGAATGAGTATTTTGAGGTGATTGGTCTTGATACCTCTGAAGGTATGACGGATATACCACCTACAGCCTCAAGAACAAGAGTATACCAACTCTCCAGGCAGCTTTAAGATAACTACTTTTTGCTCATTACGTACTGACGTCATCAAAGCATTTAAGAATGTTTTTTCCTGAGTTACTTCTGAAGATCTCTGTTGTGACCTTTGAATGCTGCTTTCTGCTATATAAAATTAAGTAAAAAAACCTATGTGGAAAACAGCTTATTTAAGGCATATGACAGTACATTGTTGCACAAGACATAGGGCATCATTTATAAATCATAAATATATTGAGAAATAGTAATGCAACTTGAAGTTTTAGATTCATATGTTGCATAGAGAAGAACTTTTAGAAAGAAAAATGCTGGACAAAATGCTTTGGGTTTCCATGTTGTTTGACTGGTGACCAAAATGAATAATCGTGTGTTGTGCTTGCTCAAAATATTAGAGGTGATGTGCCTAAGTGTATAAAAAATCAAGGTTTTCAGAATACAAACAAAAGCTGGGCATCTGACTCATAGTAGAAGTCAATGAGAGGTGCTTAACTGCCACATAGTTTGTAAATATCTCTGATGTGACCAAATGCTTACATGACAAAGATTTTGGAAAATATGAGTTTAGTGATGTTTTTTATGATTTCTGCTTGTCAAATGTGTTTTCTTTAGAAAGAAATTTCAAGTCTTCTTTTTTTTTTTTAAAAAAAAGCCCTCTAATGTAATTTCTAGGTATTGATGACCTATTTTTTCCCCACAGTTTGTCACTGAGAAGACCAAGACTTACTCTTATGTACATTAATTACCTTTTTCATCACATAGGATGTGTATTTTGTTTCCATGTCTTACAGAATAAAGCAATTATGGAACGTGTAACAAACTTGTCAGATATGGTGGTTGGTCTTGAATCATTTATTGGCTCTGAGAGAGAAACCAATCCATTATACAAGGATTACCACGGTAAGTTCCATCCTTAGCAATGCAAAAAGTCTGCCCTGAGTGTTTCTAGGGCACTTAGCGGCTTACCCTCCAATTGAGTATCTGCTATAAAGTAGCGTTTGATTTCATTTTAGAATATACCTCTTAAATGTTTCTCCTTGCTAACCAGTCTTGAGTTAGGAAAATTTTCAGTAAAGTGCATTAAGGCTGCAAAGGAAACATGGCAACTCCTTGCATGTTGTCAAGCCGTATTACTGAGGCATGGCTCAATCAGATGTACATCTCAACAGGCAGGCTTTGGGGAATTCACATGCAGAGGAGGCTTGGCAATCATCTGACCAGTGAGCTGAACTTGTCATGAAATCAATACTTTTGATCTGCCAAGTTTTAAATAGAGAACACAGAAAAACATATATTATATTAAGGTGAATAAACTGCTAAATGATGTGCTATATAAACTTTATCTAAAAATAATGTTCTGCTTTTCAGCTTTAACTTACAGCATTTACGCATTTAAAGAATTGAATGTGAATATGTGTGGCATGTAAAACATGAAACTAATTTTGATAAAAAGTCATGTAGCCTTTCAAGTGATTTATCTTCAAAATGTGTGATGGTGTTTAATCTTCCGATTTTGTTTCCCAAAGATTTTGTTAGCTGTTGCAGCAGAATTATTTAAATTTTAAAAGATTAGCTTAGAAGTTATGTATAGCCAGACCAGTGAGTAACGAACAGTTTTAGCTAATCTGGAGCGGTGCTCTGAGTGTGCATAAATTACAGCTATTATTATTGTGATACTACTGTAGTTCCATGGAAACCTTTGGTTGAATGTAAACTGCTTATCCAAAACCTGCTGTAAACATGTGAGAATGTGGCAGTGTTTTCCATAGCAGAATATATAGAAAAAGAAGCAAAGATGGTGTTGAGACACCACTGTGTGTATGCAGGCTGTAATTAATAAATCAGAGAAAAATCTTTTTGACTAGGAAAATAGTGCACGTTTCATTATCTGAAAAAAGGTGAATGAAAAAGAAACTGTGAACAAAAGCTAGAATAATTTGCCTAATTATTTTTCCAACTGTATAATCGTGATGTGGCATTTGTTTATGCTAACATAATTCTGTCAATTTGATACTCCTTTTCTCGGTACTGAAGAGATCCTTTAAGACAATATGTGTTTTAGCAGTTATTTCCTGGTTTCCTGTAAAAATGTATGCTAAATCATTTTTGGTACTACTTAATAAAAATTATGTGCTAATATACTTAGCTTTTGAGGTTTAGGCAACCTTAATTTAACATTCTAAAAATAGGTATTCTTAACAGTTTTAGCTTCATGTATTCTTTTTGCTTAAAAATATATTTTAAAATTATTTATTTACTGCAGATGATGGAAGATTTTGACATTACTCAGGAGAAGCTTGGTTAAATTATTGCATTACTTAATGAATCCTGCATCAATAATTTTATTAAGCTATCTGCAAATTTAAATGGTTGGAAAGTCAATAAAATAACAGAACAATGATATAGATGATCCTTAGATTTTTTAGAATGCTGTTTATAAGCAACCCTGCGTTATACTTGCTTTTCCTATATATACTAGTTATATTTTGAACTCAAAAGCCAAACAAATACTTCTTATATGTCACAGGGATAGAAGGTTTCAAAATGTAAACATATTTTTCTAATATTATTGAGAATTTTTGTAATCAGTACTGATAAAAATTATGCTCTTTAAAGTATTTCAATTTTAGGAAACTTTCTTCTATTATTCTTCCTTTAAAAAAAAATAAATAAAACCCTGAAAAAAATACTTGCCTTATTTTAAATTAGGGTTTTAGTGTTTGGAGTTTTTCTCACAGCTGCCATTTTCGAGTAAGATGTCTTTTCTAAATGTTCAGTATTTCCATTGAGACGCTGGCTTTATGAATAGCAAATATAGGCCAGTAATTGAGAAGCCCTGTAGAATTTTCCTGGTTTTCAAATGTAGAAAATCACCCTTAGGTTGTTCAGAAACTATATTAGGCTGCACAAAAACCATCCAGCGTCCTTGTCAGAAAAAATCAGCTTGAGTTGCAGCTGACAGAATGCAGAGCTTGCAGTGCACCTAGTACTGTTAAAAACATCTGAACAGCTAGATAAGGCTCCTGCGTGAAGAAAACATATTTCTCCTAGGATGGCGTAGGGGTTAAAATTTATCTTAAAGCACGATCTAAATCGGTATTTTCCAGAAACTTTTTAAAGTCATTTTCAGGGCGCAAAACGAAGTACTTCTCATTAGAGCTTCAGTGGTTATCAGTAACCCATAAGCCTTGTTTTGCTGGCTGCTTACTGGTGCATTTAATAAAATAAAGATCACTCAGTGGTGCCGTGGGCAGCATGCAAGGTGATAGCCATATTTGCTTACTGTAAATACAAGAGAAAATCACACACAAACCGGCTGTAGTTTTGACAAGTATTAAGATCCCTCTTTACATCTGTACTTCTGTACCAAAGTGCAATTAGTTTTCCTCGCACAAGGATTTCTGTTTATCTTATTCTGCTTGATTACTTGAGTATAATCGCACCGTTTGCTTCATTGCTCCTGGTAGTAAGCTCCAGTTTAAAAAGGGGAGGGTGAGTGTGTGTAAATATACAGAATTCTGCTGTAAGACTCTAATTTATGCATCTGGATGACAGCGTTTTCTTATTTTTTTTTCCCCTCCTTTACTCTTTCTTTCCACAAGGTTTGGTTCATGTACATCAGATTCCTCGGCTTAATAGCTTGATCTGTGATGTGTCAGACACGAAGGACCTTGCTTTTAGATTAAAAAGGAAGCTGTTCACCATTGAGGTAAGAGAAACAGTTTTGTTTCACTATTTAGAACCCAAAAGGTGGAGCTAATCCCATCTCTTATGTTTCATTTTGTGAAATACATAAAATATGCATCAGATGTTGTAAATTCATTTCATTCTGGTTTCGCTGTTCAGAACAGTTTTACGAAATATTGTAATATGCCTTCTAATTAAAAATGTCTCATTCACTGCACTAAATCAGTCTGTTATAAATAGTTTATTTTGGTTTAAAATGTACATAGAAAGTAGGCCACAACCTTCAATAACAAAGCATGACATGTTTCTAAGGATGTCAGGAGCATATTTAATTAAATGTTAATGACTTGCTCTTACTTGTGTTAGTGGGTGGGAAAGTAGCTACATGTTATTACCCCAGTAGAGAGATTTTAATGTATAATGCTGCCTAAAATTGTGTGTGGTATGAGGGATAAGTGTCCTTATCAGTATTCAGAAACCATTTTCTTTGCATTACTGAAATCACCTTTCGCTCTTTTATGTCATTTTAAACACAGTATCATTTACACTAATGTCCTTAAGTAAATTTCCTACTAAATTTAAACTTTTTTCTGTGACCTTTATGCAGACAGTCCTGATAGAAGGCAGTAATACAAAAGATGTATTTCATTTTAATCTTGCTAAAGAGCAAATGAACATAGCACTATTAAGCAATTAGAGCTGATGTATTTATTAACCAAGTAATGCTTAGAGATGGAAGATGGCTTTCAGGGTGATGTGATAGTCATCGGTACAGTCTGGGCAAATTTTTTTTAACAAAGACATAAAACAGCCAAGCATCCCTGACAAACCATTTTGTTTAATCTCTTTTCAAATGAAAAGCTCTTAAGCAGGCCACTTGTCTTAACTGCTTGAAACCATAAAAAGAGAGAATTGCCACCAATAAATTAGCATATTTTTTACTCCATCACCAAATGATGGTCAATGTGGCTTGGCACTGCTTTGGTGTTTGGGACTTCACCCTTAAGTGACCACTTTGGCCCTTATTTGACCCTCTGCCCTTTTTAGCTGGCCACTTGATAAGGTAACTTAAGGGTTCTGTCTCTTCACTGCCCCCTCCCCTTCACAATTGCAAGTAGCCCTAACCTATAAATCATTGAAAAGGCCCTATCAAGTGACAAATTAAGGTGCCCTCCTCCTAATTAATGGTCATCAATGTCTTTAATTATCTAATCCTATTGAGAGTAGTTAATAGTTAATCAGGCAGCCAGTTCTTCATGCAGGTCATCTCTGCATGAGAGCTAGAAGTTTCTCAACTAGAGGTATCCTCTTCAGAAGCCACTTCAAGGCAAATACGTCAAGGAGGGCTTTTTTCCCAAAGGCATTCCTTTATCAGGTTTCTCACTTTCCAGAGAATGCAGTTAGTGAAACCAGGCGTTGTGAGGTATTAAGCCATTTCAACAACTGCTTTTGAGAAGTACATTAGAAACAAAAACCTTAATAGTCTGTGTTTGGTTTTAAAATGCAAATGTTCTTACTGTTTTCAGAAGTGCAGAGAAGCGTGCACCCTCATTTCACAGCATAGTAAATTCTCATTTATTATAGCTATGAATTAGAATATTTGGGGCTTTTTTCCTCACTATGAATCCTGACTCAGAATGTAATTTTTTCTGTCAGCCGTGTTTGGGATTCGTAATGTAATTTGGAAGAAAAAAAAAACAACTTAACAGGACACTCTGTAAAAAGAATTGAATTAGCGATGGGGCAGAAGCATTGGAAACAGAGGTGTAGTGGAACTCTTGAAACAACCTGTTGCCCTAGACATGCGTAGATGACCCACTTGTATAATTTCTCCCTTCATTGCTCAGCTGCAGCCCCTTTTGAGTAACTTCAGGTTATGTTAGAGAGATGCGTTCTATAAGCTGAACTGACACAAACTAGCCCTTTTTGAACATGTTAGATCACTGTCCTACTATGATCTTCCTGTGCACATTTCACTAATCTATAATACATATGTTTTTCTTCCTCATACTATTAGGGGAGGCAGACTACAGCTAGGCTGACTGGAGCAATGAGGTCAATAAGAAAGTGGGAGCAAGGGGAAATTGAATTAAGAAGGGATGTAAATGCAGTCTTCTAAAATGGGTTTCTGCAGTTAGAATGTGATGAGTCAGCAGTCAGGTTTGGTTCTGGTGGTAAAAACATAAAGCAGCAGAACAGTGTGTATTACAAGCAACAGTGTGCTTTATACAAAGTACAACTAAGTTTTTGACTTCCTTAGTATGTAGCTTAAATGTGAAATTAAAATATATTGTAAGTACATTACAGTTTTTGGAAAGCTTCTGCTTAGTTATATACACAATTTAGGGTAAAATTACTGACCTCTACTTGAAATGCCACTTTAAAATCAAATTACAGAAGAAAAGTTAGAAATACACAACCTATGATTTATGGCAAAATTTCTCCAAAAAGAGTTTTCATCACTACATTCTTTTTTTGCAGTTTAAAAAAAGGCATGGGATATGGATTTTCTCATCTCTGAATTGCTCACCGATTAAATAATTCTGTATGGTTTGGCCATCATCAGTAAAAAACCTTAAATGTCAATCCATTTTATTAGATTGCAGTTTTGTGGGAGGGACTCCGCCTCTTGGAGTCTGTAGAATCATTTAACTGTTTCCGTTTTTCTTTTATCTTCTTCATCAAAATAAGATTAACTGAAATGTATTCTAAAGGGATTTTTTTTTTAATTCAGGATTTAAATGTTTTTTAATGAATATTTATGAGTGTTGGTTTTCCATTTGTGAATTAGGAGGTAGACCCTTTCCAGGAAAAGTTACATGTTTTTGGTAAAAGGTGCAGTAGTATATCAAGCTTTCCCAAATCTTCACACAGCAATTACTGGCAATATATTATTATATGCAATATTATCAGAGATCTATCTTATGTGCATACCACTTTAAAGGACACAATTTTGAAGTTAGCCTGTCTAATCCTATTTCTTCCCACTTTGGAATCTTAATTAGAAGGAGATAAAAACCATCATTTGACTAAATTATTGTCTTGAATCTGTAGCAAAAGGTATAATCCGCAATTGGGCCAATTAGTGTACCCCATAGTTAGCTATGCTGAGGCAGGAAACTTGATTAGATCTGACACCAGCCTAGTTCCCACTGTTGTTTTGCCAGGTATGATGGTCAGACTTCAAAGGGCTTGAGGCATCAGCAGGGCAAGGTTTGGAGGCCAGCTTAGGTCCGGTCGTTAATCTCTCTGCTAAAACCACAGCAGCCCTCGCACAAAACAAGCTTACACGACACAATCATGCGGTATTAAAGTTTGGGTTGAGTCATGCCAATTTGCCTTTGATTTTCTGATGATTGACTAAAAGATGGCTACATGACTAGACACATACTGAAAGTTTACTGATTAGGTAAGTTCTCCAAATATTTGAAATATTTTTTGATTTCTCAGTTAAATGATATGACAACTCATTCATCTTAATGAAACTTTTCAGCAGAACTGTTCTTGAAGTACTTTTTGCTTTGTTTATAGCTCTGAATGTAACTTATCAACGTTGATAAATTTTGTAGGAACATTATATTCGTAGTTTTATTTGACATAACTTTATCTTTGTTGTTCCAAAGCCTCCTGTATCAAAACTAAAGGAATCTGTGCCTAAATTTGTTTTTCACTCCTCGAAATTTCTGAGGAAACATTGTTTGTCTTTGTAATTTAGGTACATTTGCAATTACTAGCAAAAGGGAATTTCCTCTGAATTATTTTCCACCTCACTGTTGAGTAAAGCACTGTTCTACGGCTGCGATTACATAAGTGTTCCTTTCTTTTGCAGTCTGATTTGTTGAAATATTGCAGTAACAGTGACATGTTTCCATTCTGAGAAAAGCCTAAGGCTGCTTTAGTATTATTCCAAATGATTGAAATTGCCATCTTGCTGACTTTCCCTTGGGCAGCTTAAGGCCTGTTTACTTTTGTGTTTGTTTCACATGTTCCCTCAGAGTTTGGCTGGCAGGACATCATTACCTGGTTTGACAAGACAGTTGGAGAAGATTCATATTTGGTTAACTCCCTTTGTTACTGCCTGGTCAACATAAACCTCTGAAATTATGCATTTAAAGTAAAAACTTCTGATAAATTCAGATAAATGTGTGCAAATAGAAAAGTCTGTGAGAGTTGGTTTGTTTTTTTTTTTTAATTCCCTAGTTTTGCTTTACTGCTGATGTTTGAAGTCTTCAGGTAACAGTCAATTCTTAATAGTATAGAGAATAAGCTTTTTCCTGCAAGTTGTATATAAAGTTTATTTAATAAATAGTTGTCGTGAATTTTTTTTATTTTTATTTTGAGCAATGCACAAGTAAGAGCCAGCTAATACGATTTTCTTTTCAATGGCTATATAACACCTGTGCAAACCAGAGTAAAAATCTTTAAGAGACAGCTCAGTTTGAACCCAAGTGTCATATACTATATAAAGAATTGCCACAGAGCAAAAATAAGTAAGTTTCAAGAGCTTAAATGTATGAGTTCAGGAGATTCTTTTCTGAGAGGTGTTTCCTAACAGGAGGAGGAGAAAGTCAGAATTAGAAGAGTCCTGTGACAGGAAAGTTGCTGATTTCTCAGTGGCAGGCAGATACAGTATGGTTCTATGGAGCACTCTGCAGGGCATTTTTCCTAGTGGCAATTGCCAGAGTAAAAGATTATGTCTTTGGAAGGCAACATAATCACAAAGCCTAGCAATTGAGTCTATACAAAAATAAAAATAAATGTATGATTCCAAAAGCATTAAAATAATGTCCTTTCTTCATCCATCAATAGAGGACTGTAAGAAAATTAATGATTGCCAAAATAAGCAAGATTTAATTGCAACTCCAGATATTCATGTGTATGTTATGTGTCCAGCATTGGTATTTGGAAGAAGACTTAAAACTCTTTTTTTTAAGATGGTAAATTTGGCATTTAAAAACAGGAAATACGGCTTAGGTAGCTTCCATCTGAAATCTCTGTATTTCTTTTTTTTTTTTTTTAATT